CATTATTTAGATAGATTTCCTGATGCAACATACCTTTGTGTTTAAAGCACAAAAATACAAATATTCGCCAATTTTTTTCCTATCCTTGACAGACCAAACCCTACTCTGCAGTTTACACTGAAACTTCTTTTGATCTGAACATTGGGGCAGAGGCCACCACGTTGGAGGGGGTACAACACACAAGGAGCAGCTCCAGAAGTCGCACTGCAACTCCCAACATTTTTCAACAACAACTTGTGCTAAAGTAATGGAAAAGGAGAAGAATAATGCCCAATGTTAATTGCATTAGTCTTACCCTACAAAAAAAAATAACATTTCTGAAAAACAACTGAAAAGCCTAATTTCAGCAAGACTATGGATATGGAACAAAGATAATTGAATTACATGATAGTTCCACATTAAATATCACTAACCAAATAAAAACTAAAGCTACAAGACAGTTAAAGAATCACTAATCCCATTCCCAATTTAAAAGCAATTTAGATAAAATTACCAAACCACTAGAAATACACTTTAAAATACTTTAGTATATAAACACAAATGTGAACCTTCTACTATAGAAATTCAATATTAAACACCACTGAAAAACAGACTGCCTCTTTTAGATGAAATTATATACTTGTCAAATAAGCTTTTAAGAAATGAGAAACTATTTTTGTTAATTAGCATAAGTAACTTCAGCATTACCCCACACAAAGTGAAAAACAGATGTCTTACTTGCTCATAAAGTTGGCCAACACATAAAGACAATCCCGAGCTTTATTTTATTTTTTTTTTAATTTTGGTCATGTTTGACCTTTAGTTTGCAGGCTGTGGAACACAGGTCGTAAAAGCTTCCATGAAGATCAATATACTGAATTGCAAATACATGCAATATATAACTAAACACTTACAATCAGTGCATATATAAATGCTGCTTAGGTTATATACAATACAGTTCATTGCATATTATTTTTAGCCAATGATTACAGCTAAGCAGACACCAAGAAGAAACGGCTTAAGGATGAGCACTGTAGTTTTATGTCCTGTTACTGGCTTCAATTTCAGGGAGAAGCATTCCCTCACCCGACCTTGAGTGAAGGGAAAGGGAAACTTCGTATCCTGTTTGGATTTGAGAATAAATAATGGCATTCATCTATTAAAAGAATCTTCAGGAACCCCAGCTTTACAAGAAAAGCAAAACGATGGAATGGGATTTCAACCGGGATTAAACATGTCCAAGGTTATGCACTAAACTTTATTAAATGATGTTCATAAAATTGTATCTTCATAAATTGGCAAATACTTTTGCAATGAACAATGTTTTCTACATAATTCATCATTTGGTGTCAGCTTTAGAAGCTATGATAATTAAAATGCCATTTCATCATAATTACTAAACATTAGTCAAAACAAGGCTGTAAATGTTAGAAAGATTTATAAAACAGACAAAATGAGGATGATACACGGATCATGGATCAGCCCTGTGCATAATCCATTAAGTTTTCTTTTAAAACCTGAGGGCCCTTTGGCACAATGAAGGAACTGAATACCTGCAAACCCGTTCTAAACAGAGGCCTAATATACCATAACCCTACTGATCGGCTGCAGTGATGGTTAGGAGAGCTAGCTGCTGATCCTACGCAAGGGGGAAATGAGAATTAAAGCCCTTCCATCCTGCACAATGAAAGTACAATGGTGAAATTATAAACTCATTGCAGGCCAGCGATGCTTCCTGACTTCTCCGCACAGAGATCTTATAGCAGGACATAATTTCTAAACTCTAGTATATATGCAGAACATATATACTCTAGTATACATGCTCAAAATACAAAGATACATTGGTTTTCCAAGGGAAGTACATTTTTTAGGACTCTTACACTACCACACCTAAAATTCAACAGCCATGTAAGGGAATTGTTTTAGAAGTTATTTAATCACGATGCCAGAAAGATTCTTGCTAACTCAGTCAAGCAACAAATATTTATAGTTATCAGACTATAGTATTAGACCCATACATTAGACCCAAGTACTTTATAATGGCTTACTTTCCTCTGTAAGCTCCTTTTCCCAGCCAGCTAGTGAGAGGTAACTTCCCAAACGCCTTCTCTACAACTCGAGATCTCACTCTGAACCTGCATCTTTACACGGCTGAGATCAATTTCAGCAAATTCTCTGCCATTAGGCATCTATTTTTGGCAGCCTCATGGGCAAGTGCTTACAACACAGAGCCTGCTAAGGCATGCCAAGAGAGAGACACAGCAAGCAGTGTTCTATAACATATTCTGTGTGTCAACCCTACAGCTATACAGTGAAAGTATTGTCCAGACAACAATCCAAGCAGCGAGCTCTCCAGCCTGGCACAGACCGCTCCATAGACCTTTACCTACAGAACAATTCCAGGGATGCCCAGCCATTGCAACACACCACCACTTCCACCCGTCCCAAACAGTAACCACGCAAAATATGCCACACCAGTTACAGCTGGCGTTCCAGGCAGCACTCTCCCTTCTTCTGGGAAAAAAAATGAATAACCTCTGTATTCCCAAGGGAACAGAGACCCACTTCATTCCCCATCAGAGAAGATGGTAACCAGCTAATAAAAGCTGCAACAACAACAGTAATAGCGTTACATTAGAGACACTTGCAAGCTCTCTTTCCTCTGTATCAGTAGCTGCAGGTCAAGCTCTCTTCTCCCCGGTGGCCACAGGTCCAAGCTCACCTGTCTCTGACTGTGAACCTTCACCCTACAGGGTCTCTGCCATCTGAGAGCTTAGGAATTTCTTATAAAAAAACCTCTTTTAGCCCTGCTGTTCTCCTGTTACGTACATACTACTTAACTCCTCTGGTTTTGTTATTTCTTTTGCACTTCTAACTCAAGAAAATCACCCAGTCAATGCAAGCACTGGTTTTCACATTTCAGCTCTTCCTCATCACCAAAAGATAAGCAGTTTCTTGGTAAGAGTCTCAACAGTCCTTCCAAACCAGCAGGAGGCCCTTAGGCAAAGCCTGGTACTTCTTTTTTGCCCTCAGTGTTGAGCCGTAAGTACCTGCAACTCTCTTTGTCCAATGAAGACCCAGAGAAAGACAGAACCAGGATCCAAACGTGTCTCCGGATGACAGCACAGAGCATTACCCTCTGTAACACACGCTTGTCAGAGGCCAGGCTGACGTGACCACAAGCCAACACTGCCGTTACCAAAGCAACTTCTTCCCACCTTTTACCAGTCACCTATTCTCTTTCTTCATCCCGTGCCAGCACAACCATTTGCAAAACCACAGGGTAAACTAGATCAGGGGACTTGTCTGCTTGAATAATAACGGAGAATGAATGGGAAGGTTTCTCAAGTGATTCAGATTCCTGACCTGGCATGTTTCTGGACAGAAAAATCAAAGAGGAAAGACTCTTCAGTGGTAGCATTGGCTTAAGTGCCCCAAAACTATCACCTCAGAGATCAGGGAAGTTTTACGTAATTGAAATAAAAACCTCTTTCTGTTTGCACAAGAAGCCTGCTAAGTGGATGACAAAGAAATCCAGCCCCTCGATGTTTCAGTAGCAAATACCACTCTCCTGACTTCCAGGTACAAGAGAAATTATTGTGAAAAACCCTGCCGAGGGGGGAAGGAGAAGCCTGAGCACCAAAGTTTCCTTAACAATGCATGCTGAAGGCCTTGGGCATGAATCACTCTCATACAAAAGCTCTTATAACAGCAGCAAGATAATCTTTCCTTGCATTTACTGTACATGTATGAGAATGCAAACAATAGAGCAACAAATAAATCACATCAACTTGAAAAGTGCAGTAGATGATCTAACTTCACTGAAGTTCACATGAAGAGAGAAGATTGCATTTCATCAGGTATTTTTCTTTACCAGTGACCATAATAGCCAACTGCTTTCAAGATTAAGGAAAGTAAAACTATAAAAGGAAGGTAAGCATACTAGATAGGCTAGAGTAAGGATGGATTAAAATAGAAGAGACGGGCCTTTGACTTTGTTTAATGGGACCAAATCTACAACTTGCAGAACCCTATCACAGAGTCACAGAAATTCACACCGACAGGAACATCAGGAGACCATTTAATTCCTTGAGTTATAATTTGGTCTCACATTGGGGAAAGCCAATCAGTCAGTCATGACAGATGCCCACCTCACCTGTTGTTTAAAACACTCATTGTTGAAATGAGAAGACTTTTCTTAACATCGAATGTAAGTCCTTCTGACTACAATTTTAGGCCATACTTTTTTCTCCTATACAAAAAGTCCTTCAAAACTCATGGGGAGCTTCTTGTACCAGGCACAACTGGGGCAAACTGGATCCATATGTGAATTCACCTGCCTATTTAAGTTTCTGAAAGATGGGGCTGCTTGAGAAGTGACCACACAAAACTTCAAATACTCTTCAGCCCACATTAAAAGCCACAACTATTTATTCAATCAATATGGCTCTCTTCATCTACAATTAAAATACCAGTTTTATTATCAAATGTCCACCGTCTCCTCACAAGGTAA